TTCCCTCCCTCTTTCCTATGCCTCCTGGGATCCAACTGATACTGCAAAACCCATATCCCATCACTAACAGGGAAAGGCAGGTCCAAGGGATATGCTTCAAATGGGAAAAGCAGTTTCTCCAGACACCGGATGTGTGGTGCACAGATTGTGAAAAGACCCAGGCACCCTAGACACTGGGTCAACCACTTTGAGGCAGGCCCTTGTAACAGGGCAGCTAATCACTTTGGCCCACCCTGCACCCTCAGTGGCAAACACCTGCAGCCCTCAGCCACCAAGTGAGGTGTGGGCAGTGCCTTGCATGGTTCGACCTCTAGTCCATGGAATACCACCAGGTGTCCCTCTAGACCAGATGCTCCTTGCCTAGACTTGGGACAGAATCAACCCTGGGAGGAGAAAGGGAGCAGGAGGGGAAGAGCAGGTGAAAAGCCCCAGAGGCTCCCCCCTCCTGACCTGAAGGTAGCCCTTGCAGGCACACCATGCGCCCCTCTAGCCACACCAGGGCTGGCATCCCAGGGTGTGGGCATCTCCCAATTCTGGCGTATCCAAGGGTCATCTCTGGGAGGGGCAGGGGCCAGGATGGGATCCCAGAGGGGCACATAAATCCTCTGACCCTGGACCACCCCCCACTTGTGCCCTCACCCGCTCGGGGACTTGGGGAGGAGCCAGTGACATCACCAGAGGTTCCAGAGCTCCAGCAGCTGTGTGACAGCCCGGCCACGTGAACTGCGCAAGCCAATGGCCCTGCCGTCTCCCAGGCAACACAGAGATTCCCAGTTCCTCCCCCACTGCGCCCCTGCTCCTGATCCACACTGCAGAGAGCCCTGGCAAGCTGACAGGCGCTGACACACAGGACCACATGCAGCCCTGAGACAGGGAGAGGAAGAGACTGACTGAGAGCCTGGGAAAGAGCAGCGTCCCTCCTGCATGGGACCAGGATCAGGACAGACCATGCCAAGAACAAGGAAGGAGACTCAGGGAGGGTGAGTTTGGCCCCTGGAGACTCCTCCGCCCTGCACCCTCCCCCCAACCCCCCAGCAGGACTACTGTAGCCTGCCTGCCTGGGAGCGGTGTGTGGAGGAAGAGAATGGGGGTCCAGCTTGGGCTGCAGAGGCTCTAAAGGGGAGGAGAGGCAGCCCCGGGTGGGAGGAGGGGATCTGCATTAACCTCTCTCTCTCCCCTTTCCTATTCACAGGCAGTGCAGACCTGGGAAGTTCTGAGTCCTAGGCTCCCCCAATTCATTTCCCACCCTGTGCCGCCCTGGTCTGCACCCAGAGCCAGTTCCCGCCCCTAGTAGCAGCCCCCACACTGGCGCTGGCAGACACTGAGGCCATGGAGGTGAGGATGCTGCAGGACTGGTGCAGGTGGATGGGCATCAGCGCCCGCAGGGGCCTGCTCATCCTGGGCATCCCGGAGGACTGTGACGAAGATGAGCTGCATGAGTGC